GGTTGTGACCCTGATTTCCACAGAGTTAGTTAAGTAATGGCAGCCAATGTATCACTTTCATCTCAATGTATCACTTTCAAATTTAAGCTTTGAAGACTTTCTGAATCGTGACCCCAAGTGGGGGCGGATGACAAATTTTGAACCCACCAAGTTAAGATATTCAAATGACTTAATAAAGCTAAACATAAGCATGTTTCAAAGTAGCTTCAGCCCAAAGAATAAGTAAAGTTTTAGGATAATCTGGAGCCCCAAGCCAGAAGGGGGCTTAAAAATCTGTCAAGGACAAGTTTGCCACAAAGATTTGTGACATTTCTTAAAACTATTTAGGAATCCTACAAAATTCTTCTTTAAAACTTGATCCAAGTTTTAAACAGTGCTGGCAGCATTATGCTTCAAAGCCTGAGCAATTATGACATTTTATGTTCACAGTTTGCAAAACATCTCAAACTACTGATGGTGTTCTGCGTTTGTAAACACAATGACTTGACGTTCCTCCTCCACCGCGTCTGAAAAGGCTGCACAAAACCAAAAGAATTAAAGCCAGAGAATTAAACTTGTCACTACAACATTAGTTGTTTTTTTTTTTTATAGAAAATGCCAAGTGGCTATTTTTAAGCATAGTGAAAACAAATTTTGTGATTTGGAAAATTGAATTGTCGGCTTACGATTAAACCACGAAACTAGGGGAGTAAATGGACAATGAAACAACGTTAGAAGATCTTTGGTGGTTTACTAATGGGCTCAACAGGAAGAGGGCCCCAAATCATTCTGAGCTCAGGGCCTCGAAAAGTCTTGGGTTGGCCCTGTTTTAAAGCATGACTCTTGTTTTCCTATTAATATCGAGCACAAAGCAGCCTCTGTGTTAATATCAAGTAAACAAACCCTCCAGTCGTCAGAGGTACAGGATGGGAGGAGGGCTGACATAAAGTCAGACAGCATGCAGACTGTCGCTGAAGCTTCAGTGTCTAATCCCCAGCTCCTGTCTGAACTGCTGTGTTTGGAGATTGATATCAGGCCCTTTCCTGTAGCTATGACGAAGACTCATAGCCCGTGTGAATCAGGATCCTCTGTGACAGGATATTATTGTGCGTCCCACTGCTCCGACCCATTCATTACGGCAGCTCATGTGAACTGACGCAGCCGGCGATCACAATGAGGCAAATGCTCGGCAGCTTGAGTCAGTAAAACAACTCGGCAACAAAAGACCCGTATCAGCCGACCGGGGCCCTCGGAAATCTGCTGCCGCCGCAGTATCTGCTGACAGCTCAGGCTCGTTGGGAAGGAGAGCTGTGTGGAGTTTTAGGCGTGGGGATTTTTTTTGGGGGGGAGGGGGGGGCGGGGGATGTTGCTCTCGCAGACACATGGCTCCATGTTGCAGCAATCTCAAAAGCTGAAGACGTCAACACGAATCAAGCCACAGGCTGGGTAGTGTGGGATTTACCCCACTTACACCTCATAAGTGTCTGAAGAGTTTCACAAGAGTTTGTGGTTGGAGGGTCTGGGCTGAGCGAGCGAGTGGCTGAGTGGGAGGATGGGTTTGGGGATGGAGTTGCATCGTATTGCCAAAATGCTGATTTGTCATAGAGTTTGTAGGAACCTGAAGCTGCAGGAGTGTTGAAATAGTTTGGGCAGTCAGAGCCAAAAAACAAAACAAAAAAAAAAACCTAGTTGGGATCCTGGTGATAGCAGTGCCTCCACCCTGCAGACCCCACTGATGGAGTCACAAACATCTTAATTGGTGGGACGGTGCCGTCTTCGCTGATGATGATGATCTGTAAACACGTGGACGGATGAAAGCAAGCCCCGTCCTCACAGTTCACTGGCCCGCGACGGCGTAACATCCACGGAAGTTGATGTTTATGACAAGACATCGCGATGCGCACTTACTGTCTCCCAGACTTCCCACACCGCCCTTTCCCATGAGCCCCTCGGAGCTGCGGGCCGCTGGATTGCAGCCACCACCGCTCTGCTCATTACCACTGTGGTCGGGCCTGGAATTACCAACGGGGACCAGTCTCAACTGAGGAAGCAGCGAGGCTCGCATGAAACCAGATCCGGGCCCTGCTGGAACCCTATAATTAAGATTTTCCTGCTGAATGCTGATACTATGCGAGAAAACCCAAACGACTTTACAGCTCACTTTTATTTCAGCCTGACGGAAAGCCAAAATCCATCCAGCAAAAAAAAAAAAACAAAAAAAAAAACACAGGGGATCCAGCTCCATGCGAACGAAGCACGGGCCGCTGGAGGAGAGAAGTGCATGGACGTGGGGGAGCGGCAGAGAGAATGGAAGAGGTGTTGAATTACGAAAGGAAGAGACAGCAAGGAGGCCGTAAAGACAAGAAATTCACAAACTGTTCCTGTGAGCAGCCAACAGCAGTAATAATTAAGCACCGTGCCAGCCTCCTCCCAGTCACCGATGGCCTTATGCTCTCCAGACCTCTGTCACAACCCAACGACAACAACCAATAAGAGACTGGAGTCATTGTTCTCCAGAGGCTGACGGATCGAACGCTGTCCCTCTAGGCCAGCGTCCTTTCTGAGGCCTTGGACAGAGCGGCCACTTCAGGTCACCAGTCGGATGGAGTTACAGCTCAGCAGTCACAAAAACATAAAGACAAAAAGAGGCAGGGCGCTCCAGTGGCAGTAATAACAGCACAGAGGTGTTGGGGGACAATACTTCCCGTCTGTTAACATGTGGAATAGAGGAGATCTTGTTTATTCTGCTGCTGAGGAGACAAACAGGCACAAACAAAACCGCCTGTTGCTCCACAGGAGTCCTAGAGAGTGAAAACATCCAAATTTCATTCGGCAGACAGCAAACAGTGACTAACTCACATTTATTTACAGCACAATTTGACCACCCTGTTTTATTTTTATTGCTTTTGGCTGATTCAACTGTTCCAAGCAGGATTAAAATAAATAAATAAATAAATCCTTCGATGGGCGTAGATTATACAAACAAGATGAGTAGGATGGAATGAGAAATAACTTGGGTGCATCTAATTTATTGACTAATAGCTGCGCAACCTTGTTTCTTAAAGTTTTTGCACACTTTTAATAGTTTGCTCTGTTTTTGTGCGGATACCACAAAATGCACAATCATTTTCTACATAATGCACTGTTGTAAATATGTATTCCAAGGCTGTTGTATTATATGTTTTCTGCCTTTCTGAACAAATTACCCGAAAAAGTGTTAAAACTGATGTTTTAATATAAATATTAATACAAAAAAAGTGCTGATTCAATACTCAGCGTTTAAAATAATCAAAAGTCAACATAAATACACAACAAGTAATGGAATCCTGTTTAGATCCTAAGTGCTAATATACTAAGAGGAGACATTATATTGACTTCTAGCGATTGCAATCCACTCTGTAGAGTTAAAAATGGCTATAAAATGTAAATTACGACTGTTGGCCTTCATTTAGACAAATTGCATGTTGTTAAAAGTCTAATATAACCAGGCTCGCTGTATGAAAGTTTATTTCTCCGATATAAAAAGTTCTTATACCTCCGGTTTCCAACAGTTTAATTTCCTTAGTTAACATTAAGCTACTTAAAGAGCTCAAACTTTGCCCTCCTCGTCCTTTTCATGGATTCTTCCGGTCGTACCGTTTAGATTTTGTTATTAAGCTACAGAAAATAGTTTTTTCCTACCAGGTAGTTTGTGTTGTTCTCCTCTACAGCATCCTCTCTGCAGCCACAGCAGCTTTAAAGACTTTCTCCTCTCCGGCTGGATGTGAGGAGCGCTTGGGACATCTGCTCAGGCAGGACAACTCCACTCCCCACGAGGGGGGGGGGAATCATCCGGACTCATATTTAAACAAATAATAGTTCTTACAAAGCGACTATTACAAATATAACATCTCCTTTTACTATTTTTGATAAGCTTTATTTTACAATTGTAGGTACTTTGAATTATCTGTGCATATACTTTTGTTTTAACCTCATCCTCACCCCTACTGCTGTTTGAAATGGTTTCGTCCAGCTCCGCTGACTTCCCAGGCACGCGTCTGTCTGCAGAGAAGTGGAGGGGGCTTTTAATTGAAAAGAGGCACAAAAGAAGAAGAGTGGGTCTGAGGTAGACACTAGTTTCACTGAAACACGAACAGCTGGCGAGTAAGTAGTGGGAAATAATAAAGCCCTAACCTCGTTTCTTTACCGTGGCGGTGAAAGGTCTTCACTGGATTTAAGCTACTTTACGTAAACAAATGGAGCCCAAATTGCTCGACTCCAACATTCAATTGGGATAATATAAATAATTATAACAACAAAATCAACTTAAAACACATTTACGATTTTTCTACAGATTTTAGTGGACCAGTTTTCTTTGCAGACATTTATTTCCAGGACTTAACAAATGGAGCTAAAAGCTGTGCGTCATTATGTAATAATTTAAACTTTCAAAGTCACAATTACAAGACTCAGTCATATATATATATATACTGCTCAAAAAAATAAAGGGAACATTTCACTTTAATTTTGTGTGTGGCTCCAAATCCAGGCCTCCATTGGTTAATAAATTTGATTTCCATTGATGATTTTTGTGTGATTTTGTTGTCAGCACATTCAACTTTGTACAGGACAAAGTATTCAGTGAGAATATTTCATTCATTCAGATCTAGGATGTGTTATTTGAGTGTTCCCTTTATTTTTTTGAGAGGTTCAAAGAATTGTTCAATGAATTACGTCTTGAATTTGCCGCTGAAATGCTCCAAAAAATAACTCTACAAGATCGATTTGGACCCTCAGCTGGAGCCGTCTGTGACCATCCAGAATGTCTCCAGTGCTTTAACTAGACCCTGGGGCATTCCCAGCTTACACATTCCTGAAAGCCTCCAGCAGATGGCCGGTCCTTTCTCCTCTCAACCTACGATGGAATGAAAAGATTAGCTAATTAAACGAAGTCCCACATCCCTGTGAAAGAACCAGGAAAGTCCAGAGGGACAGGAGCTGCCTGCAAATCAATGCTGCTTTCAATAGCTCTGGTACAGAAGTCCAAACCATAAAACCTTTTATTTCCACATCACTCTCTCTCTCACACACACAGACAAACTAAAAATCAAAAACCCATGACAGAAACAAGTAAACAAACTTATATTTTTTGTAATGTTGGGAGTTACTAATATAAAACAGTACTGTTGAAAATATTTCTTTTAAGGGATCTGATATAACTTGACATGATGATATTATGACTGAAACAGAAAACTGACGATGGGACAGGCAAGTTAGTTAGCATAAAAAACATAAAAAACATTCAGAATCAGAACATTGTTGCCTTCATTCAGCCAATAATGTTATTTTTACTAAAAATCCATGATTTTTAGTAAAAAAAAAAAAAGAAAAAGAAAAGAAAAACAACTGAGTACTTCACCCCTCACCAAGAACAAAACTGTGAATGAGTTGGAAAAAAAAAATCTTTTTTTTAAAAGATGGACAAAGTTTTAGCCTCCAGAAATAAATTTTTCATTACAATTAGCAGCGGATTAGCAAATGTTAAATTACACCGGTGTCTCTGGTTTGTTGTTGCAGCTCAGCAGGCTGTGAGCAGAAAACGTTTTTAGGGCCACAACGGTGAGAGGCCGCACTGGCAGATGGGAGCAGGTCAGGGCTGATCGAACGTCTGCGTGCGCCTCAGGTTTTCTCTGACGCGAACAAACTCTGGGATCTTGTTCTGGTTTTCCCGCTGCCTTATCTCCTCCTGCTCATACTGTAAAAACAAGTTGAGTTGGACGCAGAGAAAAGAAAAAAAGCAAATAACTTTGACATGAAATTTTGTCGAAAAATTCCACAAATTTCAATGTTTTTTGACACAGAGATTACGTGGGATAGACAAACACAAAGTAGGATGGGATTGTGAAGCGGAAGGAAAATAATATGCGAGTTTCCATATTATTTACTGGCTTTTTTAAGTAATGACATCTGCAGCTATTTAGGTTTATTCTAACACATGATTAAACTAACACATGATTAAACTTTGATCCTGGCTTTCTTCCAGTATTGCAAATCAACTCATGTCGATTCAGCTCGCTATAGCAATCATCTTGCTGCGTTTGCTGTTGTTAATTTTTCTAGGACGATGAATTGAACGATTCTCCACGAGGAGTTCAAAGCTTGGGATATTGTTTTATGACCCAACCACAATTGGTTTATGCTAAATTACAGAAGGGCCAGCTTTCTGCTTATTAATCAAGTGGCTTCAGAAATAATTTGGATCTATCAGACATAAGAGTGGTGAATTGAAACGCACAGCACAATTTCTAGACTTTAATTTGGAAAGAAAAAAAAAACATTGCCACTTCCACTTCACGATTGGATTCTAATTTGTTTTTGACGTTCATTTAAAATCCCAATAAACTGAACACATTTTGTGCGGCGCTGCACAGATAAGCAGTCTGGGGAGTCACGTCTCGGCGGTCTCTGAGCTCCTGACCTCTTGCAGCTTCTGTTGCCTCTTTCGGAGCTCCGTCTCCAGGTCGGAGGGCCGTCGTTGGGCCATCTCCTCCTCCCTGTGCAGCTCCAGTCTGCGCTGCTCCAGAACCCGCTTCAGTTCTGGCTTCTCCTCCAGCAGCAGGCCCCTGAGCAGCCACAACCGTAGAGTGTTCACTCAGACAAGAAACAGCCAGACACGCTCACGGCAACATGCAGCCGGTGTTTGACCGAGGGCCAGCCCACGATGTGACCAAATTTGAAGGCAGATTAGGGCAGTTTCTGGCATGAGAGCCCAGAAATTGTTGTGATCTGTGTTTTCTGTGTATTTATTTTGTGGTTTTTCTGTGTTTATTAGTCTGTTCCCCTGTGAGTCTCCGTCTTCCCTGTTGATTGATCCCAGCTGTGTCTCGTTTCTTTGATTACCCTCCCAGTGCATTTAGTCCCACCTGTTCTCTTTGTCTCTTGTCGGATCCTCGTCGTGTAATGTCGTCGTGTGTTCGTCATACGTTGTCTGCCAGTTCCTTGTGTTCCCTGTGCTGCCATTGTTGGATTTCATTTGGATTTATCATTAAAACCACCTTTCATCTTCCTCCTGGGTCAGCCCGAGTCTTCCCTCACCTTCCCAAACCCGTAGATCATGACAGTAATAAATTTGAATTAACACAAGACAGGTTGACAAACACACCACTGGCACACATGCTAAGAGAAAACTTCATAATCGGAAAGTTATGCTGCCAGTCCAACATCAACACATTTATTTAAAGCCTTTTATTCACAAATCTTTCACTTTCATCTAAGGCAAAGTGACTGATGTGATAATCAGGCAGCACAGATTTTATTTATTTTTTTTTCTTTTTACTGCTGTTGTTGGCTCACTGGCACTACTTGGCTGGTTTTACTTCACTTACCGTTTGTGGCTGAGCAGCAGCTCCCGGTGGAGGTGCTGGTAGCTCGGCGTCTCTGCTGAGGAGCCGTTGATTTTTCTGAGCTGAATGATTTCAGATCCGCTGCCGTCGGCTGCAGAATTATGAGGCAGAGGCAAAGGTCCAGCGGGCATCTCTAAGGAACAGTTGAGAAGATTTCAAAGTTAGCGCTTAGACAGCTAGGAAATGCTAAAACCATGCTTAGTTTGACTGTGCACTAGAATAAACTTGCAGATTGTAGTGTTCTAATTTAGTAGTAAATGATAAAGATAACTTTATCTATTACCAGTCTAACACCCACCTTGTTTTATTGCTAGATTAGTTACTTGGCTCAGTCCATGCCTCAAATCCAGTACACAATAAAAATGAAATAAATAAATAAAAATGTCACCTAAATTTTGTTTTCTCTGCCAATTTCTTTTAGTATTAGCCAAATATCCCCTCCCCCCACTGCTGTGTCATGTTTAGGGTCAAAAAGATTTATCAGATTGATTACTGAAATACTTGTTAGCTAATTTAATAATTGTTTAACCATTAACTGGACTTTACAGACTCAGAAAAAGGACATTTGGTGAAAGAACAACATATTCAGAGCAGTAATTGAGCCAAAACTGTACGACTATATGTACATTTGAGATTAAAAAAACCTTCATCTGTAAATATTTTCCACCCAGGAGCAGCAGTTTTAGCATTACCCGGTTCATATTCTGTCATGAAAATCTCCAGTTAAATGGCTTCATTAATTGGTTAATGCAAAATATAATCAGTCCTACATTGTATTGATATTAAGTTGATAAGAAAGGGCTGAACTTTTCACATGTTTATGTTAAAAGCATTTCTTTGTATACTTTAGCATTTTAATAACTCTAGATGCACTAAATGATGTTATTGTATTTTAGGCAATAACATGTATTTGTTTACATTTTTAAGTGTTTTTGATATTATGACAGAAGTGCATTTAAATCTACAGATTAAATGAAAAATCTGCAGAATTTGCCAAAAATGCGATTAATCAGTAGAATAATCAATAGAGTGATTGATAACTAAAATAGTTATGGCCCAACTCATATTTACACTATGTAACAGTTTTTTTTACATACATAAACTAATTTTTCTCCTTTATCGTGTGGCGACTGTCAATGTTCATCACTACCTGCCAGGTCCACAGTCCCCCATATATTACAGTAACATAATAAACAAAGCCACCCTCCACAGACACAGGAGCACTTTTATATTCAACATATAAGGGAATTTAAGAGAGGCAAAAGCAGGTTTCTAATTGTGTATTTATTCGTGCCCATGCATATCTTTCTCCTTCATAGTGTGCAACACTTTTTGCATAAAAAACACATTCTGATATGGCTTTTAGTTGTTGTTTACCACCACAAGACAACCAGTGCCCACCCCCCTTTTTGGCCCTTTGAAAATACTTTGCACCCTGTGCTCGTGCTTTATGATACCTCTTTTGTAATTTCCATATCCTGGTTTCTGTGAAAATTGAAATGAGAGAGAGAGAAAGAGAGAGACAGACAGAAAACAATCAGGTTAATAATATTTCTGGTAAATTATTATTATTATTATTATTATTATTTTCTTTTTTTACAATCTAACACAGTGTAAAGCATGGTTCTGCTCTGCCGAGCCGGAAGGGTAGAGTTAAATCATCTCTGTTTCGTGCATCTTCTTGGATAAAAGATATAATTAGATAAAGGCTAAAAAAGACAGCGGCTGCCGTGCTGCTTAAGCAGTTCAGCTTTGTTTACAGAGGTGATATAACAGGCCTCGTCACGGGCGCGTGTCGCTTTGGTCCGTCGGTGTTCACACAAAGCAAGAATATAGTTTACATATTCCTCATGTATTCCAGAGCCAAACAAAGCAGCATACCATATAAAAGCCTCTGTTACACAATCAGACAGTGACCCGAAGCCCGTGCTTCGGGTCACTGGTTATCAGGTTATCCTTCAGATAACCTGAAGGAAGAGGATCACGCCAAGCGGACGGCAGATGGTACTTACTGTCTGAGCAGCCAGCTTCAAAGTCGGAGCAACCAATTGGTTTTGTTGTTGAAGAAGTTTCTGTTGAAAACTGCCCCGTTGCTGAGCATAGTAATCCTCTGGCTTTTTGTCTCCAGGGATTGTGCCTTTCACTTTTTCTATCGCGGTCACACACACACACACACACACACAGTAACCCTCCCTATCCTGTTTCTCCCCGAGGACCGCTGCTAGAAAGCTGAGCTGAGAGATAAAGTGTCAGGTGTCTGATCTGATAGAAGTCATTGTTCCAGCCCAAACCTGCAGAGTTCCACAGATAATGTAGTCCGTCTGATTTACATCTTTTGATGACAGGGAAACATGGCATTGGAGCAAACTGAGGATCTAATTTAGCAAAAACAAAAAATGGACAGAGTAACACATCCAGTGGGTTTTGGTTCTTTGGATAAGCACGCGTTGAAGCTGAAAAGCTGAAATTTGAATGTATTTGTTTATTTTAAAAGACTTGGAAAAAAGAAAACATCCTGGTGTGCAGTTGTAATGCCATGCCGACAGCCTCATTATGTTCGGTAGGTTAAAAATAAAGTTAGGTTAGCTATGTTTTTTTAATGCTAAATTACTAGTATAAGTTCTCCAGTACAACAAATCAAATCAAGGGATTATGTGGATTATTAAAAGGACAATACACATCTTATTTTTTTAGATATTGATTTTCTCAGTGTCATAAAAGTTTCTTCACAGATATCAGTCTAAACCATTACTGCAACTCCATGTGAAATGACCAAAAGTCAGCCAAACGTCAGGCAGATGGTCACTGGACCAGACGCTGACCTCTCCCTTTCCTCCGCAACTGGGATCTAAGAAAACAGCCGGCAGTAACTCACTTTTTTAACACCTGATCCATCCATGGTAGGATATGATGGAGCTCCACTGTTTTCCCCGTCCCAGTCACGGTGCTTCAGGTTCAATCCATCATTAAAAGGAGTCCCACGACATCGTTCAGTCCGATCTGTTTCTTTCCTCCATTCCAGGTCACCATGTCATTGTTGGTGAAGGACCCAAAGGTTCGGTGCGCTGCTAGCAGGATTCGGTGGTAGTGGACTCTAAAATCTTATTACACCATTCAAGATTACCTCACAACCCCCCACAGGGCTCACAATCCCAGATAAGTTAATTACCTCAGACGCAAATACAGCTTAAAACTAATGTGGGGCTGGGCTATTATCAGTTGACTCCTCTCTCAAAGAACAGCAGCGGCTACCTGGTAAATGTGGCTTTTGGGCTGGAACAATTAACCTCTCCCTTAAGTCCCTACACCAAGTTAAAGATGGTAAAATCCTTTCTAACGTTGCTGTTCTGTTGCAAATCCCAAAGGTTTTGGTATGCTCTGTGTTAAAGTTGAATTGATGATGTGTTTTCTCAAATTGAATTGAAAATACTGATAAGAGGAAAATGATTCGGCAGATGTAATGTGTGTTGACATCTTGTCAGGCCTGTTTTCTGGCTCTGTTGACTGATATTTTCTACAGCAAACAACTAAGCAAATGATTCCATTCTCTAAGGCATTATTATATTTTACTGCATACTTGTATGGTGGTATGTATTTGGCATTACGCTGCTGCTTCTTTTTTTAAAAATATGTATATTTTTAAAAATGACATAATTCCCTTGTAGATAGAACAGTTTTCTAATTTTCTTTCTTTATCATAATAGTTATTCCCAAATAATTAGCCCAAATACTTGTAATTAGATGCTGTTTATATACTTTTGCATCTTAATAGTTTTTGTGCCTTTTTATTACAAAAGAAAAAATAGTTATGTTTTATTTTTAATTATTCTTTCTCCCATTAAGTTTTGACTTTTCACATATTTTATATATCGATGTCCTTTGCAAACGCCGATATAAAGTCAGAAATACATTTATTTTTACACCAATAAAGAAATAAAAGTTTTATGTTTTATTGTGGTTGGATGTACTGTGGTTTACTGTATCAAATTCATCTCATGTATTTTGTTTTTGTTTGTTTTTACTTTCTATAGAACTCAAAATTCTTAGTATGTTTTTTTTTTTTAAGTAAACAAAAATAATTAAAAAGAAATTAAATCAGGTTGTTGTTCTCATCAATGACCACAAGAGGGCAATGTCCTACAGTTTGTTACTTATGTCCCATAATTCCACGCGGCCGTTACCTTTTAATCCGGTTGCGGAAGTGGGTAATCCCCACAGTGAGAATGGAGAGCGCGTGTGTGAGTGAATGATGAGTGTTTGTCTGTCTGTCTCTCTGTTATAACCTACACAGTGATCTTATTTGATCCGACCTGAGTTGGGCTCTGCTCCGGTCGGAGATGATAGGAAAAGCGCCCTGCAGCCTCCGTGGCGGTGAGCAGCCGGCGAGAAACAACCCTCACAGGGCCTCCACGCTTCGTGCTGTGGTCAGAAGTGATGAATTGATCAGATATACTAGTTCTGGTTGGGCCCGAGCTTTGCTTCGGGCCTCACGATGGACAATGAGTCCAGAGGCGATTCTGATCTCACCACAGCCGAGGAAAAGCGAGGAAACCTGGACAGGGTTCCCAAAGCCTGGAAAAGATGACCGACTTTAGTTTCAGTATCGTCCAGGTCTGATTAAGTCTCGATAAAGAAAACGCCATAAAAAAACCCTCCTACCTCATGCAAGGAGCCGTGAGGCTCCTGCGTCACTACCTTTACATCTTCCATTTTCTTTTTTTCCCTTTGTTCATTCCTAAAGTCCTCCCTCCTTTTCTTTACTTTCTGGTGTTCTACATCCCTCCCTTCTTTCATCGTATCCTACTATCCTTTCTTCATTAAAATAGAAATAAAATGTTTTCTGCATACACTTTTTAATGGGCAGTAACTTTGCCCCATAAATATCCTTCATTGAGGAAATTCAGGTGTGAGCAAAGTGACAAACAAATAGAACCATGTAGTTGTGCACAAAAATAAAAGTATACAATTAACATATTGTAAAGCAAGGGCAAAGTTACAATAAGAAAAGGCTACCTTTTTTAAAAATAGCAAATAGTCTGATTCAAAGAAATGCACAACTGAGTAGGATAACTACAAACAGGAACACCGATGACAGGTATTTTTCAACAACCTACATAAAAAGAACCACAGAGAACTGATGTGAGTTTTTACCAAGTTTTCATGAAAGGAGAAGACTCAGCAGACCGCTTCAGCAAGCTGCCCACCGCGTGTTCTGATAACTTCCAGTTAGAGCGCGTCTTTTATTTTCAGAGAAGGAAGGGATAGATCGAAGAGACAAGTTATCAACAAGTTCTACACACACAAGGTCATTTCGTCTTTTCCCTTGAAAGTGCCCGCCACTTGAAACAAAAATAAGTGTGAGAAAGTCTTCAAAACAGCATTCAGAAGTTTTAACACCGGCAGTGAAAGGCCAACACTTCTAAAATCTACAGTAATATAAAACTGCTATGGTAAGATCAATAATCTATACACATGTAAGAATGATAACACATAATATTTCCAACAACCTGTATTTGTAAAAACCAGACTACAAGAAATGAGGGAGGCTGGGACTCGACTTGGAACGTGCAAATGACAGCAGAAATCCATCTACCCATTATCCAATGTGGTTATCCTCTGAGGGGAATATTGTTTTATGACCCAACCACAAGTGGTTTATGCTAAATTACATCTGCACTAGCTTTCTGTTGATTAAACAAGTGGCTTCAGAAATAAGTTGGATCTAATCAGACATAAGGTGAATTAAAATACACACCACAGTTTCCAGGCTTTAATTTGGAAAAACATTGCCACTTCCACCTCACAATTGGATTATTCTTTGTTTTGGATGCTCATTTAAAATCCCAATAAATTTTTTTTGTGATGATGTGCGAAAGAAATTGAGGGTAAGTTCAAGGAGCCAAATTGCAAAGTCAATTGTTTTTAAGCTGTTTGATATGCAGCATTTTTTTTAAAGAAGTCAAGGTAACATAGGTACTTCACTGTGCTATGAAATGTAACTATGTCCCTGGAAAGTACATATTACCGTAATACCGCCACTTAAAACAAAAATAAATAAAAACACTATGGATTCGCGCTGTACAAACTACAACTCCCAGATGTAGAGCTTTTCCTGTGACGTCATAATTTGTATACACACGTGACCTTAATGGTCCAATCGCGTTTCTTGAAAAACTTAGCAAGAAGCGGGAGTGCGGCTGCTCTCCGAATCTCATCTTGTTTTCTTCCAAATTCCTTTTCTTTTTCTCGTTATGGCGGAGCCCAGTAAAAGACAGCGGCTTAGCCATATCACCTGCGGCTCACAGACGGCTTCTACGAGCTTACCCAGGAGGCCCGAAGGAGCAGGAGAAGCTGGTCCCTTTGTGGAGGGCTCCATACTTCGCATCACGATGAAAAACTTCCTGTAAGTAGTGTTTCCTACGCTGTCAGCCAGCTGCTGAGACCAACGGTTGTAAACTTAAACTGTCGCTGGAAGAAAACAAAACAAAAACAAACAAACAAACCAGAGACGTTTGCTTACATTGACACACAGGGCTGCCAGGCTACCCACTAAAACGTTAGCAACGACTAATGTTTAAAGTTTATTAAACTATTTAGATATGAACAAGTCTGAAATGAGCTACAACAAACCAGCCAACAGGTTCCACAGCAGTTGTTAAACTAGCTAATTCTGGCTCATAGACAGGGCACTAGCTTTTCTACAAAACATTCATGCATGTTAAAGTCTTTTATTAAATCAGTCACGTCATTTTGGGAAAGTTAACTGTATTTTGTATGCGTTTTATGTGATGGACTGTTAATAGGGAGACGGCATATAAATAATATAAATAAGTAACGGACTTATCGTTACTTACAATAAGTAAGTAACGAAGATTGATACTTGGATTTCAGATTATTTTACTAATTAAGATCTAAAAACTATATAATAGAGTTATATTCAACGCCCTTTCAACTCCTGAATAATATAAAAAAGCGACATAAAATCAAATATCTAATCATTTGTAAATACAGTTCTCTTATGTGTAATTTAATCTCAGTTTAAATCCAGCCGTTTTGGAGAGGCATGACGTTTATTAGTGAACATAAGTAAGCAAACGGCATCATGAAGCACACCAAACAAAGTTGCGGACGGGTTATAAAACAGATTTGAGCATCACATTTAGCATTGTTTGGTTGATCTTATCTAAATTAAGTTAGTATAGCAACTCTGTTAAACTATCAAGATATGGCTGTCCACCTTCACTGGCAGACCAAGGAAAGGAGAGCAACAATCGGAGAAGCAACCAAGACACTTACAGTAAATCAGGACCTGCAGAAATCCACAGCTCAGGTGGGAGAATCTGTTTTTGCAGGAGATCTATTAGTCGTACCCGGCACCAATCTACTCGTCCAGTAAAACAGAAGGATTCCACTAGGTAGGTTAAGAGAAGCCTCTTTTGTACAAGTAAAAATCCATACAGTGAACACAACAAACACGTGGAAGCAGGTGCTCTGAGCAGATGGGACCAAAATGTAAATTTTTGGACCACATGCAAATAAACTAATACAGAGCAGTCTGCTCTTCACTCTAAACACACCTAACCCTGCGGTGAAACGGCGCGCTGCAGGGAGGACGTTCTATAGCGCCGCAGAAGACACAAGACTGACTTTTATATATTCACTTTGTAGCAAGACAGTGAAGCTTGACGTATCACCAGAGAAAGAAGGGGGTGGTTTAGAAATGGCTCAGTCAAAGCCCAGACCTAAAATCTAATCAAAAACATGTAAAAGAACTTGAAAATTGCTGTTCACCAGTCCTCTAAATCCAGTCTGACTAAAAATGAGTTGTTTTGCAAGAAAAAGTGGTCATAAAACCA